CTGTGCACAAAAGGGTCCCCACCGCTGCACCCCGATCCCCCCTGCCAGCAGAGCCCCCGCTGCTGTCTCCCACAGCCCCGTTGGCCCCCTCTGGGCAGGCGGTCCTGTTCTCGCTGCCGTAGCGGGTCTCTGAGCATCCCAGCTTGGCCCCGTGCCCCTGAATAAGCCCCTTGTTGGAATGGCTGTTTTGGGAGGGTCCGGGACCTGCCCCCTTCCCCCAAAGCCTGCGAAGCGTTTTCCTCCCGCCCGCCGGCTGTAGCTGAAACATTGCCGCTATTCATGCAGCTCCCACAGTCCTGGCAGCGGCCGGGCCGAAGAATGGGGAGCGTCCGGCACGTCCCATTCATCTGTCACCTCAATAGTCGGGAGCACTGGCCTCGGGTCTCCACTGGCCCCTGTGCCCAAAGCAGCTCTGGAGCAGGCGCCTCCCATTCCTCTCCTGGCGCTGTCTGTGCCGGTTTTGCATTGATTAAAAATGTTTTTTTTGGTCCCTTTGCGGCAATGGGATAAAGGACGAGTCATCCTGACACCTGGGCTGGGTGGGGGGCAGCTGAGCGTCCCAGCCCCGAGGCGGTGGGCCCAGCCCTGCTCGCCCTTCCCCGCCACGTGGTCCGGCTGGGCCAGAAACACCTGCAATGGAAGGGGAGGCGCGACAGGAGCGACTGCCAGCCCCCGCCATGCGCTGCAGAGCCACCAGCCGCTTGCCAGACTGATTTCTGTTACCGCCCTTAGAAAGGGGCTCGGAGGAAAGCCCTGTTTTGGCTGCTACATGTTTTTGGGCTTGGCTGGGAGCTGGTTGCCCTAGAGCTGGTCTTTGCATTGCACAGCTTTAGCAGAGACAAATTCGGTTTTCCTGCAGAGACAAATGCGGTTTTCCCCTCTGCCCAGAGCTGTGCCTGGCTGAAGGAGGGCTGCCCTCCACCCCACGAGCAGCCTGCTGCTAGGGAGCCCTGCGGCGATCGGCTGGTGGGGTTTCGGCGTTGGCTTTCATCCCATTCCCATTTTCTGGTTTGCTCCGGGCGTGTACCTGAGTCCCCTTAGCACCTGCCCCGGAGAGCGGAGAGGCTGTGCCTGTGCTGGCAGAGGGCTGGCGAGCCCCTGCCTTTGGTGCTTGCCCCCAGCTTGAGCTGCAGATGCCCAAATACGCTCCTGCCCCAGAGGCTTCAGGGTGGTGCGTCAGTCCGGGGGTGCTGGGAGCTGTGCCCTTTGCAGAAAGGGTTGGGGGAGTGCGTGGTCCCGTCCCAGCCTGGGATAAACCAGCGCGGTTTGGTTTTGGTGCAAACCACGGGCAGAGCAGGCAGTGAGGCAGGGGCTGCCTGCTGCGCTCGTGGGCCTGCAGTGCTGGTGCGAGGGCCAAGCCCTCGGGAGATACTTGTGGGATGGACTGTGATGTGGAAGGAGCAAACTGCTCCTCGTGTCCTGGCTCTGCTGATGATTCCTCTCTCCCTCTTGTTTTGGCCTCCAGGACGACATGACCGACTCCCTGCGGGATTACACCAACCTGCCCGAGGCTGCGCCTCTGCTCACCATCCTGGACATGTCAGCCCGGGCCAAGTACGTGATGGATGTGGAGGAGATCACGCCTGAGATCGTGGAAGCCTTTGTCAGCGACTTTCTAGCAGACAAGCTAAAACCTGAGCCCATCTAAGGGAGCTTCTGCACCAACAGACGTTATTTAAAACTAGGTCTCTCTTCCGCCGCTTGTGGATTCTCCAGCGTGTCCTCACGCCCGACCCAGTATCCAACCTTCTTGTGGTGCCTTGTTTTACGCAGTGAATCCTTCTCCTAAGCAAACTCCTTGAGATGCACTTTCAGCAGGGAGTCGTTGGCGTTTGGAGACTTCGCTTGTGCTTCATGGTGATATATTCTCTAATAACCAGGCCAGAACTGTTACCGTATCGTTATTTTATACACAGCACTAGCTAGCAGGCAAATCTTTTTGCATGGTGTTCTTCCCAACATATGCATCAGGCAGTGGATGGGGTTCTTGGGGCTCTTTTCCTCTCCTTGTCCCCCTTCTTTCCTTTCCTACCACCCTGCTGACTAAGTGACTTTAAGGAAGCAATAAGGCAACCGTCCCCTTCGCCCCTGGCCCGTCCTTTCCCATGCGAGTGCCCTGACGAGGCCAAGTCAAAGTCTTAACTGCTGACCACCTCTGAAAGACCACGGCGCAGCCGAGCTCTTCCTCCTGGGGGTGAGACCATTCCGGGTGGGTTTCCTACCTCCCACCCCAAGCACCGACAGCCTTAGGCAGCGCTGGCTGTGCGTGTCGGGGTCCACCGGCCTGTGATGGGCAGGTATTCCCGTCCTCCCTCCCTCCCTCTCTGAGCCAGGAGGAGGACCACCACCGGGCTGCCCTCGCCTCTCCGTCTCTCCCTTGTGCTCCACATGTCCCCTCTCCCTTTCTCCCCTACTCTGGTATGAATTGTCCTGTCTCCTCTATGTTAGTTGATTGAGCTGGTTTTTTGTAGGTGTGTCCCAAACCCAATGTTAATGGTGCTGTTCTTCAAAAAATAACAAAAAAAAAAAAAAAAATTCCCTCCCTAACCCAAGCACCACAGCCAAGCCCCCAACAAGTGACATTGTAAAAACTGTACATGGTGTTTGGAACTTTGTAATAAAACTGTTATAACAACCTCGTCCCCAGAGCGATTGCTGCATCCCCCTGTCCGGGAGAGGGAGCCCACCTGGGACTCTGCGGGAAGAAGAACCCCAGCCAGACCCCAGGGGTAGGTGTTGGTGCCGGCGGCCCCCCGCCAGGCCGGCGGGACGC